ATTTACGTCGGAAAGTGCAACAGAAAAGTTTGGGAAACAGTTAAAGTATATCGGACCTTCCCCTAAGGTTGACTCAATTATTCCTAATAAGGAATCCGTGAACTTTCTATGTCTTTCATCTCTTACACAAATCAAGATTGAACTGGGCAATCCTGTTCTGGTAAGTGGTTTCACCGCTACCTGCACCAATCCTATGTGCAAATAGTTATAATTTCTCTCCAGATGCTGGTCGATTTGACTCTGGGTGAATAGCTGAAAACTATCTTTTTTTATCAATGACAGATATCGTTTTTTCAACAGTTTTTATTACGTAATCAGATCTGAACTTGAAAGATCCCTTATAGTATATATCAGTGATGGGTACTCTGGGTATATCCCAGTTGCACAACTCCTTTTCTACGTCCCGCATGATTATTTCTTGAGAGTTTTTAACTCGTAGGGTTCTATGGCTAGGACTGTTACTAGAGCTTGCTTCTCCAGAAGAACGGATAGACAAGATTCTCCTAAGGCTTGCCATTTTAAAATTCTGGATTTTATGCTTTCCTTCTGTTCTCCTCCTAATTCAAGGTTGCTAGTCCCTGCCTAGGTCTCTCAACGCCTTAGCTTATCGGGCAACGGCTAATGAGCCTATCTGACAGCTAGACAACTCGATGACTAGTGAGTAAAGGAAACTTGACAGAAAAACCAGAAGATCAAACCAACAACTTAGTTTGAACTTAAACTTAACAACTCTTCTAGGGACTTTTGGCTCTGATACCAGGTACTGGCCCAGACTCTTAATATATATAGATAAATTTAGGTCAAACTTAACAGAAAAAGCATAAAATAATAAAAAGAAAAAGAAAAGTGTTAGGTGCGAAAGCCTCGGCCCAAATTTGACCGGGAACCGAGGGATTCGGCCCGACTCTCCTTTTTCAGTCCGTTTGAATTCGAAATGATTAAAACTCCCCACGAACTTAGCCCGACTTGATTTGAAACTTGACCCGGCCCAGCATACAATCCGAACTCCTGTCCCATTATACCAACACAGAGCTAACAGTCCAACCGAGTAGGACCTCAGATACAGACACTCGATGTCAGTCCGCGAATCGTCGGGTCAAAATCTGAACCCCACTCGGAGCACGCCCGATCGGCGCCCAAACTATCCTGACTATCTCGCTGGAACCCTAAACTCCGATATACCCCCTGATCCTCTCCTCCGACCGGGCTCCTTCATCGACGCCACCACCAGAACCTCCAATGGTCAAAACGTAAAAGAAGCGCAAAAGCCCCGAAGAGCGCCTGAGCAATCGAAATGTGCGGAGCCAGCTACGTCCGGGTCGGGTATGGAGAATCCAGATGGTGGGGCCGGGCGAGTCAAGCGAAAAGGGTTTGTGGAGCCTCTGGAGAACTGGTTGCCGCAAGGTTGGTCCGTGGAAGAAAGAGTTCGGGCCTCTGGTGCAACAGCTGGGAGTACAGATAGGGTAAGTTTCGGTCTTACAGATTATTGTTAGATTTTCTATGAGCTCAGAAATAGAAATTTCTTATGTTAGTGAGTGTTGGTTTGTTGATGATTAATGCTCCTTTTGGTAACTCTGTGAAAGAAATGAAGGAAGAGAAGGAACCATAAGATTTGATTAGATTCTCTGTTTTAAACCCATTTTTGTCTCCCATTATGAGAAAAAAAAGTATTAAATAACGTATTGGCAAACAAAATAAATAGGATCCACTTATTTATTTTTGAGCTGATATTGTGTAAATAACCAAAACGACTTCAGTTTAGGGTGTAGGGTCTGGTGTTTATGCTTTATATATATTTTGTTTATAGGAGTTGGTATTTAAACTTCATATTAGATAGCTAATTATTTTTGTGTTAAAGATGATATGCTTTTAGCATATTGTTGCAAGGGTTAATAGTTGACGACCTTTCATCCTATTTTGCACACACACTAAAGTGTTTATTCTGCAAATCTGCTCCAGCGTACACAATGTAGTTTGTAGCTGTAAATTAACAGTAAATTGGTGAAGAAAATCTTCATATCCACTATCTTTAAGCTTAGTGTTGTTCTTTCAAGTTCGTCTACAACTCCTAAGAAGTTATAAACATTAGTGTTATCCTATTTTGGGTATCATTTATGTGATGTTTGCACTGCCAAGAATGCTTCTCACACACTTTGGACTCTTTGGTGGTTTGCTTTCCGAAAACCAACTGTTTTTGGACAAATTCTTTGTTTTGGAATTCAACCCAGTTGCATAATGCTATTATGTTTTATCCTAAGGAAACACTTTTCTCTGTTTTTTCAATTTGGTTAGGGGTAAAATAATCACCTACTGGTTCAAGCTACTAATTAGCATTTCTGACACAATCAGAGCTTTCAAAACATTATTTCCGTTCTGTTCACAAGGTCTTCTTTCAATCAGTCCCAGTGACACTGTTTTTAATGGTTGGAAAAAAAAAAAAATGCTGTATAGAGGGGTCCATGCATTCTGTTGAATAAGAGTGAGTGAAAATGATGCCCTGCACTTGTTATAGCATTTGGAATGAATATTTTGTATAAGGTCAGAATCATGTCTTAGTAATTACTGACATTAAAAGTCTAATAGTTTTTCTTCCGCAAGGTGTTTTGGTGCTATTTTAGTAATTGATAAGTATATCAATACCCACTGCCCAAAAAAGTCACATCCTGTTACTTGTGGCGCTGATATAGGAGGTGGTGTACTACTCCTTGCAAAAACAAATACATATTAATAAAAGTGGGAGGGGGAAAGATCAGTTAACTAGTGTAAAATATATAGAATTTTGCACCAGTTATTAGCATGTGATAGGATCTTGGTTCCCCAATTTAACCTGTAAATATAATTTTCTTATCACGCACATATTGTGTACTAAAATTTTGTTCGATGCAATATCGGCAACCATTCCATGAAGGTTAAAGTTTTAGTATAGATGAACTGTTTGACATACATGGTGGGTACTCTTACAACGGTTGGATTGGGAAAATAAAGTCCAACAAAAAGTTATTAAGTGGTGCAGAACACGTTAATTATGCAAAAGTGTAATTGATCCTGCTTCTAAAGAGTTAACTGATGTATCACAACATTAGGACTCCCCCATTGATTTCCCTAATCTGCATCTTTTTAGGTAAGTATGATTAGAAGGGAGAAAATTCCCAAGTTTGTGTCCCTGTAGTTCAAATTTCGCCAGTCACTAGCTCATGAACAAAAACAAGTGTCCAATGCATGTACAACATCTTTTCAAGAAAACCTTCAAGGTATAGCTACATGTTAGATTTACCAGGAAAGACAAAAGGTAGGGAAACCAAAAAGGAAGAAGACTTATGCCCTGTGGATTAGTTTTCCCTGTGTGCAAGTTTTGTTCCAACAACTAAATGGAATGGTAGAGTTCAACAATTGATTTTATACAAAGAAACTGCACTTATTTTTTGCAAGTGGCATAAGATGCTTGTATTTTTAATTGCTACTTGATCTTTAAATTTTTTTTTTACAGTTCCGTTCTTTGCATCAGTTCAGTTTAAATGAATAAAATCCCAAAAATATAAGAACATTGAAGATTGCTTTTGCAGCAATCAAGTCTGAGCAAGGTTTAAATCCTCTGTTTTGCCCAGTATTACGTTGATCCAGTCTCAGGCCGCCGGTTTCGGTCAAAGGTAGAAGTTCTTTACTTTCTGGAAACTGGAACAATTAAAAAGAAGAAAACAACAGAGAATGCCAGTGGTGACAAAACAGTGAGTAAAAAATGACTTCTTATTTGGCTGACAGTGGTTAAAGGTTTTCTTCTATTTTTCTTACTGATATTTTTTTAAATTTACCTTATTTCTGTCAGTCTGTAGATGGTTCTGGAAGCCATAAACAAAAGAAGTCTAGCACAAAGCCGAAGAGTTCTGCTTTGAACTTTGATTTTGTCAATGTGCCTGAGAACGTTGTATGGGTTCTTACAGACGCTTCTGCAGGGTCCTGGACACCCTTTATTGGTAACAAAGAGGTGCCTGAATCTACTACACAAGAATGGGCTGCTGCATTCACATCTATCACATCCCGAAAATAGTGATCATTCACATTGAAAATATTTTGAACCCTCTTTCCATATCACGAGGATGCACCACGAAAAATGGTTATTCTTTTTGCCAACAGACTACACTGACCAAAATTACATCATCTTTCTCCATATTTCCTCCCTACTGAACTTTTTGGAATCTTTTGGATCATACGGACTCATATCATATGACAGCGGATCTAGTCTACATTGCTTTTTGGTATGTAGTCATTTTGGGTACAGAGTCATTCAAAACTGTCTTATATTTGCTCTTGATCAAGTTTTTCTTTCTTTCTAAGTAATGTTATTGGCACTCCAAAATAGTCATTAAGCTAGTTGCGCTCGTTTGCAAGTTTATGGAGGTGTAAGCATATTTTGGAGTACATATAACATCTCTACGTTAATTCTCTCTTTACATGTAACTCATGTCTCTGTATACCTGTTCCCTTCAGAATTTTGTGTTTGACAGTTCATTCAATAGGCATATGTGAATTTTATGTTTTAGTGAGCACTCTCTTTCATCCTTGTAAAGAAGTGGGCAACGCTAAAGAACACTATTTTTTTCCCCAAAAAATGAAGGTCCTTGTGAATGCCTTTCTGGGCCGATGCCGTTTAATTTCCGAAGGTGATCTACAACTCAATTCTGTGAGAAATTATGAACTTATGATGTACTCGGTTATATTCGCCTTGTTATTGGCACTCTGAAAAAAGTCATCCGCTAATAAACGTAAGTAATAATTTGTATATGGACAAGTGTATATGATGGCTTTTTTGATGTCTCAATAACAATCTACTCACCTGCAAAGTTCTCAAATTTCCATAGTAATCAACAAAATATTGATACTTCATTTATGCAAAGCAAAACTATGTCGGACTAGTTGTCATCGAAATATAAAATCATATCTATAATGGGACTATTTGTTAAAATAATAATAGTATTTATTTATTTATTTTTTCCAAAATAGTTGTAGTATTTCCCATTTTTCTTCCACGTGCAGAAGATTTACAAACAAGTTACCCTGAATTTTGAACTCCTCTTGCACCCAAGTTCGATTCCCCATTTTCATAAATTGGATTAATGTAAAATAATTTAGACTATCGCTTATATTTTAAAAAAACAAAAATATCTTAAAATAACTAACTTTTGGGTAAAGAGTTATATTAAATTATATATGTTTTTAATTAAGGACGGGCAAACAACCCCCACCGTTATAAAGGTGATATGTCTTTATCCATACAAACCCTGTCCAATTTTGGTTTTGGAAACTTCTTGCCGACGCTTCTTCTTCTTCTTCGAAATTAGAAACCCTCTTTTATTTAGAAACCCTGTATGAATAGTACGGGGGGACTAGCTAAGCCTCTCCCAATTCCTATTCTAATTTGGTTTAAAAACTTCTTGTAAATATATTGTCGCCGGTAGTAGCTTATAGCCTCCTCAAATTAAAAGAACCTCATTCTTGTTTCTGAAATCTTATACATAATAACCTAGTTGATTAAGCTAAACAAGCTTTTCAATTCTTCTTTCTCTCTCTCGTATAGACATCATGTCTGCTTTTGATTTTCCAATGCAATTTTCTATAGTCTTATCTTATGTTACCCAAAAACTCGATAATTAAAATTTAAATAACTTGACAATTAAATCCTAAAATTTAAAATATGTGGATTAGGCTAGTTGGTCAGGTTAGTGAGCTCGCCCCCTTGCACCCAGGGTTGATTTTCTCTCCCCGTAAATTAGATAAAATAACCTGATTTTGGGTGAAAAGTGAAATTATATGTTTATAATTAATAGCATAGATTATGGACGGGCAAACAACCCCGCCATTGTTTTCGGTTACAGTTAGAAACCTCTACAATTCCAATTCTAATTGGATTTAAAAACTTCTTGTTTCTGAAATTAAAAAAAAAGATTTTCTATTTAAATCACGCACTTCTCTTTGTTCACCCCAATACTTAAATCATTAAGATGTAAGTTTTATTATTGTGTAAAAAGACAAAAAAGGTCATCCAACTTAATAATTAATCCTAGTACATCTATACACACACCCCCACCACTTTTCATATAAAGTTTTAGAAAAATACAAACTCCTCTACATCATATTGCCAGATTACTCTTCTCTTTTAAAGACATAGAAAATTGACGAGCTTACCTCTTTAAATATGCGTGGGAGTTGATGGAAAGACTTGTTGATTATCAACTCAACAATACCCAAGTGTTGAAATTCCAGTTACAGTTATTGGAGAGAGGTAAAGTTATTCTCTTTCTCTAGAAAGTATTAAATTTCGAGTTTAGGGTTCTATTTGTTTGTGTTTTTTTTGCTGGGAACAAAGAAAATTGTGGGGTTTAAATAGAAAATCTATTTTATTTCTTATTTTTTCAATTTGGGGTGTATTTAAGGGTAGTTTGGGAAGATAGTGGGGTTTTCTTAGAAATTGTGAAATTTTAACTTAGAACATGGGGTGAACTAAGAGAAGTGTGGGGTTTAAATAGAAAATCTCTAAAAGAAACTCTTTCTTGTTTCTGAAAGCTTATACATAATAAGCTAATTAATTAAGCTAAACAAGCTCTTCAATTTTCTCTCTCTCTCTCTCTCCCTCGTATAGACATCATGCCTGCTTTTGATGATGTCTTATCAACCCTTGCCCTCATCATGGGAGGCCCCCTCACACTCACGATCTTCTATTTTTGCAAAGACCGCACGCCCAATGATCATTTTCCGAGTGATGATGCACGGCACGATGATCTCAAAGCAGGTCGACTGCCGTCAAATCTTGGTCGTCAAGCTCGTAATATTGCTGCAGTACAGCTGCCGCGGCAGGCCTCAATCGTCTTCACATATACTGTTACTACTAGTCCTGAGTGTGTTATTTGTTTGGAGGAGTTTAGGGAGGGGCAAGAGTGTCGGTTGCTTGCTATTTGTAACCATTCGTATCACAAGTCCTGCACTGATCAGTGGCTAGCCGTAACGGAAAGCAACTGTCCCCTTTGCCGTGCTCCTGCTCAAAATGTATCTTAATTAGAGGGCTTTCTGTAATTCTCAGTTGATTACTTTTGATGTTACAAACACAGAGCATGTAACTACCAATTTTACTTGTAACTTTAGAAGTAAGTCCCCTCTTGCATTATGTTAGTAGCCAACGAGAAATATGAAATTGCATTCCAAGTATTCAAGTTCTGATTTTCTTGCACAAGGCCTATGGCGTTCATCCAACTACAATTTTTAACTGACATCAATTCCCAAATAGGAAGAATTTTAGCTTCGATTCGTCCTGAATTACAATGTATATTTCTACTACATACACTTGAGCAATAATAAAATGGATAAAAAATGTATTACGACAGAAAAAAATGACGGATATGTATCTTTGAATGTATATTATGCAAAAACAAACTTGAGCAATACAGAGAGGGCAAACAATGTGTATTACTGACATATATTTCCATTAACTTTTATCCTTTTGGAATTACAACTGCCTAGAGAGAGAAACCTATGTTAACTGAGAGAGTGCACCTAAAGCCCAAACTCTGAAGAAAAATGCAAACCCGTAAAAAGAAGGGGTTGTAACAATCCTGGAAAGTTCAACAAATGGGTTCCTTCTATGAAATCAACTTCCTAATAAAACATTGAAAGCAACAAAAAAAAGTTCCATTACGAAAGAATTGAATAGAATGTTGTATAGATATACAGAACCTCATGAACAACAATGTAATTGCCCAGCCAAAAAAAAAAAAAAACAGAATATATAAGAAGACATTTTGAGACTGAGATCCTTACTGGGTGAGGCAAGATATTGGAGTATGAAGCTGTACAGCCGTGAGACTTCTTGTACCTCAAAAGAGCTCTTTAGTCAATACATATGGGTGTTGTCCGGGAAACCAAACAAGGTGTCCGGGTCTTATGAATGAGACATATGATTCCATCTTATGGACAGTTTCAGAAATTGGGATTCTCATTTGCATTCAAACATTCATAACTTCACCAGTGTACTATCACCTTTCGCTTTAGAAAGTATGTTATACAAAGAAACTGATGGTCTTAAATCTGACTCCATCATCTCTTTAAGCAGAAACTCGGCCTCCTCCCACTTGCCATCATTACAAAGCACTCCAATGGTGGAATTGTAGCTAGCCACATTTGGAATCATTCGATTCTTTCTCATTTCTTTGAGCAACCTCAGTGCCCTGTAAGAGCTACCCTCTTTGCAGTAACCATGAATCATCATATTATATATGACATCATTTGGCTCCAAATGAGTGTCACTCATTGATTTGAACAGCTTCGATGCTTCCTTCATATCGCCTTTCATGCATAATCCATGGATTAAGACACCATAGGTGTGAGTATCGGGCACCATACCGGCCTTCTCCATGGAAAAGAACATCTGAAATGCTCTTTCCATGTCACCAGATCGAACTAAGGCATCGATTAAAATTGTATATGTCACTTTAGAAGGAGAAACACCTCTGTCGTTCATCTCTCTCACTAAATCAGCAACTCCTGCAGAATTTTGGGCTCTAGCAAAGGCTTGAATCAAAACATTATAAGTCACCAAAGATGGTGATTGTCCATTTGACTTTAACTGATCAAATAAACTCAAAGCGTTGTCCAACTTTCCTAGGTTACAAAACCCATCAATTAGTGTGTTAAAAGTAACTGTGTTTGGACTAATACCTTCCCTTATCATCTGATTAAAAAACTTCTCAGCTTCCCACATCCTGATTTCCCTGCACAATCCGCAAATTACGGTGTTGTATGCTACAACATTGCAGGCCACTCCTCTCTCACGCATTTCATCAAACAGTTCCAAAGCTCTGCTCATTTTCCCATCATTGCAACACTCATTAATCAAACAATTATAAGTGCAGACATTAGGAACAACCCCATTACTTTTCATCTTCTCATAGAGCTCAAACCCATCTTTTTTATGGCCTTTCTTGAAAAGCCCATCAATCAACGCAGTATATGTATACTGGTTAGCAACCAGACCAAGCTCCTCCATTTTACCAAACATCTTCTTTGCCCTCTCTAAATCACCATTCTTGCAACACCCATCAATCAAAGTAGAGTATATAACAACATTCGGAGACAGACCCATTTCCTCCAATTGAACCAATAGCTCGAAACCTCTATCCAAATCACCAGCCTCGCAGCAACTTTTTATCATTATCCCAAAACTATACACATCCAACTCAACCCTACCCTTAAACTCATTGAAAACCCACCAAGCTTTTCCAAAATCTTTTGACTTAACAAGAAAACCCAACAGATTATTAAAAGTGTTTGATCTGGGAACGAGGCCCTGGTCAACCATCTGCTTCAAAAAGCAAAGGGCTTGCTCTGGCAACTGAGATTGAACATGGGCATTGATGATAGTTTCAAACAGATGACTACAGAGAGGGTTAGAGCTCAAGTGGGGTTGAGTTAAATGGTGGAGGAGAGAAGAGGGAGTGAAGAAACGGGAAGAAAGTCGACCAGAGAGCACTTGAAGAATGAGAGACTGGGCGTGTGTTGGCATGTTGGAGGAGAGAAGGCGGTGGAGAATGAAGGATATGGATTGGTGGGTGTGTTGGAAGCCTTGGAGAATGGAGGAGTTGAAAATTGAGAAGGCTTTTAGTGGCGGGCTCTTCACTATTTTTTGAATGAGGAGCAGAGCTTCGTTCGCTAGAGACATTATTGTCCTGCGTTTTCTAGTTGCCTCGCCTCTCTTCGGAAATAGAATTAGCTGAACATTTTAGGAACTCGGAAGTTAGTTTTGCCCACCCATGATGAAATGGGCCGGGTCAAACTTTTTCGGATCAGCCTAGTTTATATTTTTAACCGCTTGAGTTATAAGGGCACTTCCATCCATTTGACAGACAAAAGGCAAGGAGAGGTAATGGCTGTTACTATTCACGTGAATAATGCATGTCCTTGCAATTTTTCTGTTAGTTTTCCACACGTGAATAATGCATGTCCTCGCAATTTTTCTGTTAGTTTTCCACCCATTGTCATGGCAATCCAATGATAACCACTACTCACATGAGATATGAAGAGAGGAATTTATATAGAGTTTTGGTGTAGGAAGTGAAGAATATGGCTAGGTATTTATTAAAAAAACTTCTAAAATTTTTGGTTTTTTTAAATATATATTTTTTGTTATTTAAATTGACTATTGAAGTCAGCATTAGGTCAGCTTGCCCAGGCAAGTCTTGCCTTTGGGCTATCCCAAGCTGATGGTGGAGCACACTCCTTGCTCGGGCTGGCCTTCACCACTGGACTTCATTTTTGAGAGTTGGAGGGCCTTTTGCCTGTGCTGGCCTACACGGGTGGAAGTGCTCTAAGCTCCTTACGAAACGGGTTGAAACTTAATTCAAAGTTTTAGTGTATAAGCAGAAGAAGAAATGAGAAACAAAATACCAAGATTTTTGTCTGTGATGAACATGTGAATTACACAGATTTTTGTTAGCAAACTCAATAGAAAATTCCTAAGATATGCTGTAAATTGATCACGTTTGTAATCTCCCCCATGTGAATTAATCAGGCACTTATGGTGCCATTTGTAGCTGTAAAGGCTTTTTGTGGTATAAACTAACATGTTGTTCATTTACCAAAGATTTAACCTTTAAAATCTTGTACGTTACAATTCATTATTCCCTAATTTAATATTTCCCTTAACAAGAAAAATCCTTTTTTCTTTTTTTGTTAAAATAAGAAAATTATCCAAAAGATCTAATTATAACCTTTTTCTTTTCTTTTGGGGCTAAAATGATAATCACAACCTTTCGTGACTGGAGAGTCTAGAAGCAGCTAAATAGTTAATGGAATACAGATGGACCTTTACCAAAACTGACAAGATCCGCAAACAAAAACCAAAAATACATATGCATTTGTGAATTGACCCCACTACCCCCACGTCTCCCCCTTTTGAGTCTTGACCAGATTGTGGAAAATCGATAAGTGGGCCCCACACACAGACCTTTCTTCCGAGTTTCAACTTTCAACATATGCTCTCTGGTGTTCTCTAGCTCTCGCTCCTTTCAGCTTCTCTACACCAGAGACATGGAGCCGAAATCCTCTGCAACCGCACCGCCCAAGCTCCTCCTCCTCCTCTTCCTCCTCGTCTCCACCTGTCACGTCATGGGAGCTGCCGCTTCCTCCATCGGCGTCAACTACGGCACCATAGCTGATAACCTCCCACCGCCCTCCCAGGTCGCGACCTTCCTCAAGACCAAAACCACCATCGACCGCGTCAAAATCTTCGATGCCAACCCCGACATGCTCCACGCCTTCGCCGACACCAAGATTGCCGTCACCATCACAGTCGGAAACGGTGACGTTCCGGCCCTCGCCAAGCTCTCCGCTGCTCAGGCTTGGGTGTCCGCTAACATTCTGCCGTTCCACCCCCGCACGATCATCAACCGGATCGCCGTCGGCAACGAAATCCTCGCCACGTCGGACAAGGACCTCATCGCGCATCTGCTTCCCGCCATGAAGTCTCTCCACGAGGCTCTCCAGCTGGCTAATATCTCCACCGTCCAGGTCGGGACACCTCACTCTCTGGGCATACTAGCGCCCAACACGGGCCCACCGAGTCAGGGCCGATTCCGAACCGGCTACGACCGAGTCGTCTTCACTCCGATGCTCGAGTTTCACCGCCAGACCAAATCCCCGTTTTTGATCAACCCGTACCCGTTTTTCGGATTCGTACCCGAGACTTTAAACTACGCGCTCTTCAAGCCAAACGCGGGCGTTTTCGACAACGCCACGGGGATGAACTACACCAACATGTTCGACGCGCAGATGGACGCGGTTTTCTCGGCGATGAAGCAGGTCGGGTACGAGGACGTGGACATCGTGGTGGCGGAAACCGGGTGGCCCTCCGCGGGCGACCCGACCCAGCCCGATGTCAATGTGGACAATGCGGCGTCGTATAACGGGAACCTCGTGCGGCACGTTAGCTCGGGAAAAGGCACGCCGTTGATGCCGAACCGGACGTTCGAGACTTACATCTTCGCGCTGTTCAATGAGAATCTGAAACCCACGACTTCGGAGCGGAATTACGGGTTGTTCAAGCCCGACTTGAACCCGGTTTACGACGTGGGCATTTTGCGGAACCAACAGGTAATTCGGTAATTTTAGTAATGTTTTTGGTTTTTTTGCGCGTAAGAATCGAAGAGTTATTCTGATTCTTCATGTGCTGCCAATAGTCTTTTGACACCTGGTGGAGGTCGTATGCTCTGTCTTAACTCAATGGATCACTCGGCTTCCGCGTTTGTGCTTCTGAGCTCTGACAATGCCTACGACAAAAGCTCACCTGTCGTTGCTGTTTATGCATAATGACTGTTCGTTTAATTATTTATTTTAGGCAGCGGGTCCTACATCTGGCGTGGCATCCGGACCCACCTCTGGCGGGGCGGCCGGACCCACATCTGGCGGGGCGTCGGGTCCCGCGTCCGGTGGAGCAACAGCACCGTCATCGTCGGAGAAGAGGTGGTGCGTGCCCAGATCGAACGCTTCTGATGCGGCGCTGCAGGCGAACATAGATTACGTGTGCAGCAGCGGAGTGGACTGCAAGGCGATACAAAAAGGTGGGCCCTGCTTTCAACCCGATACCGTGAGGTCGCACGCAGCTTACGTCATGAACGCTTATTACCAGTCGGTGGGGCCGCAGGATTACAATTGTGACTTCAAACACACTGGATTCGTCACCACCACTGATCCCAGTAAGCTTTCCCTGATTTTTAATTTATTTATCGACATATTGAAACTAGCAAAATTAGTTTTTTTTCTTCCTTTTTTGAATAATAAAAAAGTGGAAAAATTGGGTGGCAGGTTACGATGCGTGCACGTATCCATACAAGTCGGAGAAGTTGGAAAAGTCGGTGGAGGGAGGCTCGATGAAAATGAAAAGTAGCAGAGTGGCGGAGATATTTATGATGGTGGTAGCTTCTTGTATTATGTTCTTTTAGAAAAATTAGAATTAAGATTATCTTTTGTAATTTTAAAAAGAGTTAATTTAATTTCGTCATTAACTTAGGATAGCTACTCTGGCTGCTGCTATTGTAGGGGGGTTTAATTATTGGTTGGGTGTCAAGAAGTGGCCGTGTTTTGGACAGACCTTCATGTAAACGGGGATATAGGCTTTTTCGCTATTTGGGCTAATAGCGGAATGGCATGTCAATGTATTATTAATCGGAATAGCAAAATATTGTTATTTCTAACTAGGACTCTCGGATGTATTAAATTTGAAGTTAGTACTTATCAACTGCTTATGGAACATTATTATTTATTTTACCGGGGGAAATATTTGGCAATGCCCCCTGAGTTATGGATCGCGTTTTACTTTTTTTTTTTTTTGGTCTGAATCATGAGGTGGTCCTGGATGGGTCCCAATTATGGGTGGCACCTTTAAGCCTTAACCACAACCCAGACTAATCCCCATTCACACCGGGTCGGCCCGTAAGGGGTAAAGTGATGGCCAAAATGGTGACTCCGTACGAGAGCAGGGATCGAATCCCTGACCTCTCTTAAGGAATGAGAGTGCCGAACCACTCACACCAACCACCTTGGTTGATCGCGTTTTACTTTACTATCTGAATTTTAACAATTTCGTGAAATATAGGTTCATTTCCATCTGTGCGAGCTGGGACTTGTTTTGATTCACCTTCACCATATCCCATATCTTAAAATCTTCCCTTCAGCATTTTCTACTTAACAAGATTTCCAATGGCCAAAATCGGGGACAATGCTTGGTAGTGATAAAACTTAATGTACATGCTCTCAAAAATTAGTCGTGTGTGTTGCCCGTGATGGAATCAAACAGGAAAATTATGACATAATTGATGCATCGTGGCACAACTGCATGAACTAAAAGTTTAATGTAGACACAAAATCAAATTGAAAGTTCAGAAGAGTAAATTATAACAAAGTCCAAAATTCATGGAGGGTGCTAAAATATTCCCTACCTGATAATCTCACATGAATTATATGCATCAACGTTTTGCGTTTGATTTTTGACGTCAATAGATCCTCTTGTCATCAATTGAAATGTCTCCTAAACCCTATGTTACGAAAGGAAGATGCTTAGCTATAACTTACGATAGAATCTAATTCCTCTTAACTTTCTAAGAGAGTTTTATAGCAATTTCTTTGGAGTAAAGCAATATTATGCTTGTCGTTTTCAGTACATCAATCATACTCTATGGATATGTATGTATGTATAAAGAGGTTGTGGTTTGAATCCTATTGTGACTGCAAATACCACTTCCCAAAGACCAATATCATTCTATGCCCACGAGAACAAACATACTATTACAAACTATATCTAGTGACAAGGGCTATATGTGATGTGAGCAATGTTATGAATTCTCGCATGCATCCAACCACTCTTATCCAAAATTGATCATGAAACTAATATTTGTACATGATTTCTTGTTATATAATATGTCAAATAGTGGCGAGACTCATTTGTTTAAGTGAGATCTACTACTAATAGAGATGTGGTATGAGATAATCAGTATTTAACTCGTTTTTATGATAGTTAAACCATTAAATTAAGGTTTCTTCCTACGCTTTGCCTCGAATCTCAATTTTCTCATTGAATTTGCAACAGGGTCAATGTGCTCTTGCGCTTGCATTCCATCAATTTTGTCAATAAAGTCGTTTAATTGCTGACGTGGTATGAATATTTAGTAATTTTAGTTATAAACAAAATTTTAAAGGAAATCCAAATTAATCTTCGGAATGTACAATATCATAACAAAAAAAAGCTTTAAAAAAACACGGTAGTTTTCTACCCATCTTTAACTACACATTATACAGATTCAAGTATGGGTAGCGCGGATATTGATCCCCTTGCAAGAAATAAACAGAATCACGACAAAGCGGACAACTAGTAGCCCTACCTAGCCACTTCTCAATGCATCCTCTGTGAAACGTATGCTCACACTTAAGAACCCTGCACTTATCTTCTTCCTCAAACTCCTCCATGCAAATAACACACTCGTCACTGTGAAATCCTACTCTCTTGTCCACTCGATACTTGAAAGGTATACCACGGCATATTAGCCGTGGCCGCAGCGGCGGTCTTCTGGCTGATCTTCTCGTTCTCGGTGGTGCGGTTAATGGTGTTGTTATTGTTGGTTCCCCAGATTCAATGTCGTGGGTTGGATGCGCTGTTTGATCGGCAGCATTTTCCCTGATGATCCCATATATGATGGCGGCTACTATTAGAATGCATAATAGTATCAGCACGATAGTGCGTACATAACCAAGCTCTGGTGGCGGTGAAGGTGGTAGCGAAAGAGGAAGACGCGGAGGAGCTGCCGATACCATGGCGGGCGGACTGCGTGTATGAGGTGAGAGTAAGCCAGTGTGGTTGTTTGTACAAGGATTGCAATTAATATATACTTGAGGAAAGCCTAAGTCCTAATGGCATAAGGAAAAGAAGAAAAAAGAAAAGAAAAGGAAAGGAAAGTTTCTAGCTAGTTTAGGATTTTGGCGGTACGAAGTACGCACGGGAGGTTTGGGTGTGAGTAAGTGCAATAGTCTATATGCTTGAGTGGCAAGTTAAACCCCTATACTTGGAGAAAACAAAAAGATTCAAATATTTTACACACACTACAAGAAAGGAAGGCAATAGTCACGTTTTTTAGTCAACAAATTGATTTTGGTGATATCAGGTGGCTGGTCAATGGTTTTGGTGACAGCAAGCAAATAATGGTTTAACTCTCTCACATTTCAATTTAATTTATTGATTACATATAATTTAAATATAATAAATATAAACCACTTTATTGTTCTTTACAGCTAAAAGTAACTTTCCAATTTTCTCCAGTAATTAAACCCAATAAAATATTTAAGAAATGTATTTTACTTTTCAATACACATTTAAACTGTATCTTTTCTCTCTCCCTCTGAAATGTCCCACGTATGTTTTCATCTTCCAAGCGTATGATATGACCAGTATGGCCATGGCCCACACTCAACATTTTTTTATTCTTCCTTTTTCTTTCCTTTCCTTCGCTCTTTTCTCTCTTTCCTTAAAAAAAAAAATTTCTTGCGTCTATCCTTCCTCCCTCTCTCTCCCTCCCCCCTCTTTTTTTTTTTCTTCTTCCTCTTTAATTATTTCCTTTATCTCCTCTCTATTTATATTTTTATCTGCGTTCATCCCCTCTCTCTCTCTCTATCTCTCTCTCCATCTTCTTTATTTTTATTTTGTCTTCCTATATTTACTTGAGCAAATTACTCATGTCTTTTCTTTCTTCTTATTGTTAGGTTTTGGATTTGGAAGGGGCTGCATGGATTTTCCTAAGCTTTTATCCGCTCACATCACAACTGAACTTAGATATGAATTTCTAAGACTTTCTTACTCACATGTATCTCATATCTACTTTTTGTTTGGGAAATGATTTATTTTTTGTTTGGTTACTGAGAAAATGAAGAAAAATGTTGAGTTTTAAATTCAATGTTTTGTTGTTATATATTCTTTGCTATTGTCTGATGCAGGAAGACATGAGATGAGACTGGAGAAAGAAATAATATGGATGTACAGACATGTTGCTATTGCTGGATTCGAAGGTTAAGTTATTTTTGTTCTTGATTTTGTTTTTCCTAGCCTTCAATGTATAACAAGCTGAAAATACTGATATCAGTAGCCGGTGAATAAAATCTCTTTAAGGATCTATTAAAGATTCAGTTGTGGGAAGGAAGGATGGAATTGCTCAATACTTGCTCGCAATTAAAGACTTATAATTACCTTTGCAAGGCCTTGCCTTATGTATTTACATAGAAACAGAGCTTGGATTTGGATTCAGGAATGGAAATACTGTTGACTTTGAACAATATGTTGTAAAATTGGCTAATTTAATCTTTTAAATGATTTTTTGGAAAATGAAAGGCAATTAGAATTTTTTTTTTTTTTTCAAAGGAATATAATACACAAGCTATACACTCACTTATTATACAAATACAAATATAAATACGAGAATTAATATCTGTCAGTTAAATCAAACAAAATAATAAAATATTATGATTTGACATGATGTTCAGCTTTTAATTGCAGCTATAGAAAGTCAATAATTTGTGTCACCAAACTCTCTCTTTCGTAACAAAGAGCAAAAGTCACGGAGGCATATGTAACACACACTCGAATTGTAATTGCATCGTGACTATTGGCTTTTGTCACTAAAAATCGTGACTAATTGGAACAATAGTCACGAAAAATATAGTAACTACTGCCCTCTTTTTTTTTTTTGTAGTGACAAATCCTCAATTAACTATACATAATAGATATTGACGGTTGTGTGAACCTGATTTTGATCTCCTTGCACAACCCAAACACAATCTCGACAAACTGGACAATGGCTAGCCGTAGCAAGCCAATCATCTATGCATTTTTGGTGAAATGCATGCCTACAATTGCTAAGAAATCTGCAATATTCTCCTTCCTTAAACTCCTCCATGCAAATAACACACTCATCACTGCAAATTCCTATTCTTTTGCCCACTCGATGCATGAAAGGTACACCATAAGAGATTAGCCGCGATGGTCTTCGTGTTCGCCGTAGATTTGTCGTTGTTGGTGCCCCGAATTCGATGTCCAAGAGGGTTAAAGTTTGATCAGCCCTTTGATTAGCATGCAAGTTTCTGATGAGCAGGTATATGTTGATGGCTACTAAAGTCATCAGTAGAATGACATGGTATGATTCTACAATAGCGTGCCCCAAGGAATAGTACCTATCAAGAGGGCTATGTAGCAATGATAGAATTAGGTTTGTCGCCGTTGATACCTGTGAATGTGGTGGAGGAGGAGGAAGAGTGAGAGGCGCCGCGGATAGCATGGCGGAGTGTGTATGTGTGTGAGAGGGAGAGGGAGAGGGAAAAAGTCTAGAAATATACTTATCCAATATCATTCTAGCCCACATATTAAAAACAATTAAAGTACAACCGCTTGTTAAAAAGACACAATTCCTAATATTGCTCACAATATATATATACATCCCATCTCATATATATGTGATGTTGATATATTTTGCGTTTTTTTAAAGGCGGTTGTACTTTAATTGTTTTTTATATGTGGATTGCATCTCAATCCAACAAATTATTTGTATGGTAGATTGCATCTCAGATTGATCAGTGAGACTCCTTAACAAAAGAGCAAAGAATAAATCCTAAACCCAAAAAAAGAGAAATTAAATGAACGCTTCAAATTTGTTTACTAACTCTCAACATACTCTTCAAATTATATAATAAATTGCTCGTATCAATTTTTTTTTTTGGAATATAGCGATATG